CCCCAAAACCCCAAAACCCCAAAACCCCAAAACCCCTGTGTAAGAATTTACGGTTGAAATATAATTTATAAAATCTAAATATGTAAGTGTTCAGGTATAAATCTTAGAGAAATGATGCTAACAAGGTCTCTCAGGCCGGTAAGGACAGGGGTAAGAGCGCTTCACACCTCATGAGGGTTAGTGGGATACCCGAATGTGGGAAAGAGCACTCTGTTTAACTCTTTGACACAAACACAACAAGCAGAGGCGAGTAACTACCCGTTCTGTACAATTAATCCTAATACAGCGAAGGTTGGGATATTCGATGATACTATCCTCAGTCTTGCTGAGATAGTCCAGCCAGAGAAGGTAGTCCCTGCTCAGCTAGAGGTTTGGGATATTGCTGGTCTCATTAAAGGAGCCAGTGAGGGGGCAGGCTTAGGTAACAGATTCCTCTCTAATATCAGAACAGTGACTGTAATCATTCAAGTTATCAGATGCTTTACAGATGTCAATGTTTCTCACGTTGAAGGAACTGATAGCTTCGACCCTGTCAGTGAAATGGATGCTGTGAAAACAGAGCTTATTCTCAAGGACATTGAAACTTGCCAGAAAAGAATGAAAAGAAGGGGGCAGCCAAAGGAAGAGACTGTCTTTTGGGAGAAACTTTATAATCATCTCAATGAAGGAGAAGCTGCTAGAGATATGGAAATGACTAAGGAAGAGGACCTTTTGGTTCGACAACTCTCCCTCCTCTCCCATAAACCTGTTGTATACTGCTGTAACACCGATGCAGAAGCAATGGAGGAAGGCGACAATGAAATTTCTAGTGAATTTAAGCAGTACATAAATGAAAATGAGCCTAACAACCCAGTCATCACTTTATCAGCAACATTAGAAGATGAAGCTTCTATTATAAAGAATGATGGGAAGACAGATGCTGAGAAATAAAGAATTATTCAACGAATACTTTGAAGCTTATGGCTCCTCTGGCAGTAAACTTCCTGAGCTGTTAAGCATCTGTAGTGACCATTTAAATCTCCAGAAGTACTACACCGCTGGACCAGCAGCAGTGTCTTCTTGGCTAATCGAAAAAGGTACGACTGCTGATGAAGCAGCAGGCAAGATTCATAGCGATTTCCAGAAGAACTTCATCTGAGCTGAAATTTCAAGGCTGGAAGATTGGGAGCAGTACGGTCCAACTGAAGAGAACCTGAGAAAATACAATAAATGGCAGAGATATGGTAAAGATTATGTAATGAAACAAGGAGACGTGGTTGTGTTCAGACATGGAGCTAAATAAATATTCAATCTTTGTGTTTCAAAAAGGGGTTTTGGGGTTTTGGGGTTTTGGGGTTTTGGGGTTTTGGGGTTTTGGGG